AGGTGCTGTGTGTGTACCTTCCTGTATCATACCTCCCAGTGACCCCGTCATACTGCCCGAAAACATAACTGCTGAGACTATGGATCACCGTCTGCAGCCCACCAGAGTCCAGGTAAGCAGGCAGGTGTGTTTCTCTAGCAGGGGGTTCAATGGCAGCATAGTGGAGAGCCCCTCTCTTCTGTCTGATGTTTTTTTTACCCAAAAGCTCTTTTCCTTGGGTGAAGAAGGGTAAGACTTGGGAAAACAAGCAGCATAAGTGAGCTTAGGGCTGACTGGTCCTCTCCAAGGAGCTGCCCAGGCTGCATGCCCTTGGAGGTACTTACTGCTCCCCATAACTACCTTCCAGTACTTGTGGGGAACTTATAAACAGGAGGAAGAGTGACTTTTTACACAGGCAGATAGTGACAGGACAAGGGGAAATGGTTTTAACTAAGAGAGGGGAGATTTAGGTCAGATATTAGGAGAGAATTTTTCGCCCAGAGGGGGGTGAGACACTGGCCCAGGTTGCCCAGAGAAGCTGTGGCTGCTCCTCCCTGGAAGTGTTCAAGGCCAGGTTGGATGAGGCTTTGAGCAACCTGGTCTAGTGGAAGGTGTCCCTGCTGATGGCAGGGGGGTTGGAACTGGATGAGCTTTAAGGTCCCTTCCAACCCAAACCATTCTGTGATTCTCTGATTAAATTCTATAACCAGATTTCGGTGCTGAGGTCCTCCTCCCTCCCACCGCTTCTTCCTCCCCTTCCCTCCCTTGCAGAGGTTATTGCACAGCCTCCTGCCCTCCCGTACCAAAGCTCAGCATGAGTGACCAGCTCCCAAGGACTCTCGGGATAACACAATGGATGAAGTTCAGTGCAGGAATCCTGCTGATTTTTCAGGACGTGCCACATGCCTAAACCTGCTACGCTGCTGTTCTTGTGCTGGGAGAGCAAAAACCACCCCTGGCACTGGGCACGGCATGAGCTCTGGTCCCCCATTACCTGGCAAGAAAGATGCAACCCCAGGCAGGGATGTCCTTGCCAGGGAGGAGGCAGGGCACTGTCAGCTGGAAGGTGTCTCTGGCTGCCAGGACCCGCTGGCCAGCTTCTTGCCTCTGGGCTGGAACCAGAGAGCCTTTCCTTCCCCATCTCTTACTCATTTTGTAGGCAAAACAGCTCAAATAGCTCAAATAGTTTGGATCCTAACGGCACAACTTTCCCAAAAAGCAGCCTTGCCGGGGTAATATTTCTTAAAATAAAACCCGAGATGCATAATAAGGAAGGAGGTGGAACAAAGCAAAGCAAACACTCTTCCCAAGGAGCCAGAGCTCCCATCCAAGTGCTTTCCCCTCCTCCTGGGAAGCCGCAGGAGGCCCAGCCTCGTGCCTGTGGATACTACTGTACATGGCCTTGAGTCAGGCCCACGGCTGGTCGCTGCCGGGGGCTGAGGATGCCCGGGGTGTGTGGGATGGTTAAGCACGAGCCTTGGAAGGAGTCCTGGCCTTTGAGGGATGGGATGGTTTGGCCCATTGAGGCAGTGGCCTTCAGCTTCCCTTTCACTGCCGCTGCTGGAGGCTCTCGTGCAAGGGAGGCATTTTGCAGGGAGGAGGAGGAGGAGGAGTAGGAGGAAGGTGTTATTTTAAGAAGCAGCACTCCCTCTTGCCAGGAGCTCTCTCCCTGGACTGTCTTGTTTTCTTCTCTGTCCCGGCTCCTGCCTCTGCTCCCTGCTTTGCTTCTCCAAGAGTTCGATGGGGGCAAACCACACAAGGTGCTGCAGAGGCCAGTGGGGGAGGGCACACTTCCTTTTTGCTTTCAACTCTGATTCATTGCAGCCCACAGTTGAGCAGGTTTGTCCCTTTGCCCCTTATTTCCCGTCCTGGAATATAAGTACATTAATATAGAAGCATAGAACTTTGTGAGTGGGAAGGGACCCACCAGGATGATGGAGTCCAACTCCTGTCCCTGCACAGGACAATCCCAACATTCACACCATGTCCCTGATGGCCTTGGCCAAATGCTGCTGGAATCCTGTCAGCCTTGGTGCCATGAGCACCTCCCTGGGGAGCCTGTTCCAGTGCTCCACCACCCTCTGCCTCAAGCCTCATGGCCAACCTCACCCTCCCCTGCCACATCTTCCTGCCATTTCCTCTGCTCCTGGCATTCGTTGGTGGCCAGAGAGAAGAGATCAGCGCCTGCCCCTCCTCTTCCCCTTGGGAGGAAGTTCTAGACCCCCATGAGAACTCCTCTCAGTCTCCTCCAGGCTGAACACACCAAGTGACTTCAGCCTCTCCTCATCTGGCTTCCCCTCTAAACCTTTCACCAATTTGGTGTCCCTCCTCTGGACAATATGCACACAGTAAAATGCTGTTTAAGTTGCACAACATCCATGTGTGAAACACCCATATGGAGTGAAGATGCAAATATCCTCCATGTTGAGTGGGAATTGGTGAGCTTGGCCACCCTCCCCAGCCTTTGCCCCATCTGACGGCAGCTACCTCTGCATCTGCCTTCTCTGTGCTGGCTGAGGACAGCCAGGAGCTCACCCTGCCCCAGCCCCATCACTGAACATGCAGCTGAAGGACCTGCAGCAGGTCTGTGTGGGCAGAGCTGCCCCATCCCCAGCTCCCATCAGTGCCACTCATTGATACTGGAGCTGGGCTGTCTGCCTGCTTCTCATCTCAAACGAGAGCCTGGGAGAAAACATACGTGCCCCTCGGCGCAACTCTGGCGCTGTGAAGGGCATCCTAGGACACTTCCACGGGCCAGCCGTTGTTTTACGAGGCCTCAGATTTCAAAGTCTGCCCAAGCTTTACAAGGAGGAAATTGCCTGTGCGGTGGGGCTTTTCTTCCCCCTGTGTAATCAGGAGTGCTCCCCACAAACCCCCGCTGAACGAGCGGGATGTCTCAGTTCCAGCGCGGTGAAACCGAGCCCTTCACGTCTCACTCTTGTGTCCCTTTGGCTGCAACAGCCGAGTTCCGAGGCCTCAGATTTCAAAGTCTGCCCAAGCTTTACAAGGAGGAAATTGCCTGTGCGGTGGGGCTTTTCTTCCCCCTGTGTAATCATGAGTGCTCCCCACAAACCCCCGCTGAACGAGCGGGATGTCTCAGTTCCAGCGCGGTGAAACCGAGCCCTTCACGTCTCACTCTTGTGTCCCTTTGGCTGCAACAGCCGAGTTCGTGCCTCGTAAATACCAGCGATAACCTCAGCCCCGCGAGCGGACGCGAGTCTGGTGTATCTGCTTCAGGCGAGGTCCAGGGCGGTGAGTCCTCCCAGGTTCTGGTTCTTGGAGCCTGAGCAAGGTCAATGAGCTCATTGATGCAGGCAACAAGTGATGACCAGCTCAGCCCCCCATCTGTGATGGTTTCACTGGGCTGGCACCCAAACACAGCCACTCACTCACTCCCCCCTGCCCCAGGGGATAGGGGAGAGAACTGGGGGGCAAGGGTAAGGAGACTCGTAGGGTGAGAGAAGAACAGTTTAATAATGGAAATTTAAAAAACCTTAAAATAATAATGATATTAAAATTATAATGATAATAATAGTAATAAAATATGCAAATGAGTGACACCCAGTGCCATTGCTCACCACCCACTGACCAAGCCCGGCCCATTCCCAGATAACAATCCCAGAGGAGCGACAATCCCGAACCAAAACCACAATCCCGGGAGAGCCAGAGCCCGAGCGAAAGCCAGAGAGAGCAAGAGAGGGAGAGCCCCTCATGAATCTCCTGCCCATGACATTGTATGACATGGCATATCCTATTGGCATATCCAAATGCCAATCTAGCTTATTAATTTAAATATTAATTCATCTCCCCCCCAACAAAATCTTGCACTTGCAGACTAGCAAAACATGAAGTCCTTCAACTTCCAGTGACAAATGAAAACATCAGTTTGTTAGCAATGTTCCTCTCATAACAAATAACAGCTGAAACCAAACCCCAGCACTTTTCTAGCTACTAAAAAAAAAAAACCAAAAAAAACCTAAAACAAAAAACCCCAGGTCTCAGCTAAAAAGCGGGACACCATCCTGTATGAGCATCACCTTCTACCCATCATGTAGAAAGGTGGTGGCAGACCCTAGGCCATCATGGCTCCAGGTGGTTTACTCCCAGCAGCAGCTTGTGGCTAAGTCAGCAACTGGAAGCCAAACCCACTTGTCTTGTGGTCCCTGCCATCTCCCTTTGTCCTCTCCTACTTGTGTATCTGCATACATCTATGTCTACCTAACCGCCACCTTGGACAACGTACCTGTTTTTTTTGGGGTGAATCACGTGTAGCTGCCTTGGGTTTGCTGGGCTTCAAAGGGTTTCCCATTGGGCAGAGGTGCAGGGAAGGTCCTGGAGATGCCAAGTGCTGTTCAGCACCCCAGTGAGCAACCCATTGTGGTGGGAACCCTCCATTTCTAGAGAGTGCTGGTGGCTGTTGCCCTCCCTCTGCCACCTCACCTAACAATAGATCTTTTCTTCTTCCCTCCTCAGCATATCGTGTGCACGGGCAGGCTGCGGTGGTATCCAGACCCCTTTGTCATTCACTGCATCCAGTCGTGTGAGGTAAGGCCCCCCCTGACCCCAGCATGAGCTACCTGCTCCTTGTAGGAGAACTTCTGGCAATGAAGACCTGCTCCAGCACAAAGCTAGATGGCTTTGCCTTCCCGTTTGCTCTGAGCTGGGCCAGGGCTTGCTGGCTGAGCAGAGATCAGAGCAAACATCCTTGGGTAGGGTCCCCAGCAGCCAGGGCGATGTTGGGGAACAAGAGCTGCAGAATAACCCATTTCTTTCCTTCCTCTTGGCTAACCCAACAAGAACATTCTAGCAAAAGGATTTCACTGGCAAGGGGTATCCCCAAAAATCCTCTGTTACCTCCAAGCCTGAATATTTCCTTTAACCAGAACTGCAGTTCTAGAGTAACAACGGATCCAGAAAAGCCCTGTGTGACTCATGCATCCAACCAAAACAACGAGGATTTCCAGCCTCGTACATGCAAAACAAACCGCTCCTGAAGAATCTGCAGACAAAGGATTCCTTGCAGAAATTGGTTAGCCGCTCATTTTGCTTTGAATAATGACCAGGCAGGAGAAAATCATAGGCAGCCTGGAGTCGGTTTGCAAAGGAAATTAAAAATAGGCAGTCTTTGTCAAGCACTACTTGTTATTATGATTGAGGATAAAATGGAAAAGGGGAGGTATTTTGGAATGTTGTACACTGAAAAAATTGGGATTTTTTTACCAAAAAGGAAAATGGAAATGAAGTTTGCACACCAAAAATAGCTTTGGGTTTCGCTGATTGTTTTTCACGTGCCCATTTCCATGCAAATGATGGCTTTTGCTCACCAATTCTGCCTAGCTCAGCTCTTGTTGAGTGAAGTGGGGGAGAAAGGGTGATGTTGCAGGGGGCACGTCCCCAGGAAGGAATTGTTATGGTCAACAGAAGGTGCAGCAGTTATTTCCCAAACTCCATGGTTGTGTTGTGTGTCTCTAGTGCAAGGCATGGGCTGCAAGAGTAGGGGAATGAGGTGCTGGGTGCTAGACAGGTGTTTGATGGTTGAGTACCAGAGCTTAGCAATGGATCCTCTGGCACTTGGGGAGCTCCAGGTCTTTCTAAACTGCATCTTTCAGCTCAGCTCTGGGACAATGTATTTGAAGTAGGGTGAGCTTATGTGGAAGAGTCAAGATGGTTGTGGTGATCTCTGTGGTTCTTCTGCTAACAAGGGAGAACCACTCCTCGTGCTCTTTAGAAGCTGGTCCTTCCAAAAAAGAAACAGATGGGGTATGAGGTGCTCCTTCTTCTCCTCCTGTGCAGCTCAGGTGAGAGGAAGCAGACACAGCCATGAGAGTGTTCCTTTGGCTCAGGTACACCAGACCCACCCCAGCCTTTCCCCCTCTCTGGTTCTTGCACATCACCTTAGGTCTGTGTCTTCAGCAAGAAGTCCCATAGGGGACAATGAAAAAAAGCTTGTTTGTGTGTGAGAGAAAGAGAGGGAGAGATAGGGACCAACTGCTTGAAATCCAGCATCTCATGGTAACAGTCACTGCCTTCTTATTAGCAACCCAAACCTGGTCACAGCCAACATGATGGCTTTCTCTTCCTGGATGCTTTTCATCCTTGTTTACTCTTAGAAAGCAATCCTAGACAGTAGTCTTGGCATACAGGAGGTTAGACAATCCAAAATCTTGCCGTGTCCTACTAGAAGATGGAGAGCCCATGCTCTTCATCACCTCTGTAGGCTTTTCTGTGCCTTTTCTGCTTTCAATTAACCTTTCCTAGCCACTGACCAAGCAGTACATACTCTTCCAACTGAGGTCTCACCAAAGCCCTGCACAAAGCTTCCTTGTGCTGCTCATGTCTCTTTTGATAGGACCCAGAACTAGATCTGTTATTTCTGCAGTTGCATCAGTCTGGCAGCTCAGAGATATCCTGAGGTTAGCAAGTACACCCAGATCTTTCTCTACTTCCTTTGTTTCCAGCTGATGAGCTCTGAGCTAACAGCAGATGTTTTACCATCAGTACAAGATCTTGCCCTTCAATTTTATACAAGTGAATGTCATCCTGTTTCTTCCTCTAGTTCTTTGGGTCATCTAACTCCTTGTCAGCTATCCTGATCCTCCTCTATGGAACAATGCCTTCTTTCCTCCTTAGCAATTTCGTCAGCACAGGCCTATTTTTAAGGTCACAGTCACTCACTGTGATACTAATGAAGATTCATCTTCAGATTATTGCTTTCTACCCGGATGGCTCTCTTTTTTGAAACAGCTCACAGCTGCCTCCTCCCTGTTCTCCTCCTTCTCTCTTCTCATGTGTCTTTGATTATTCTTTTCCTTGGGTTTTCTTCTACAATGCTGCAAGTTATTAAGGTTGGATTGATAAGCCAAGTCTTCCTAGATAACTCTTTCACACGTGTTTTATAGTAGTCAGTGTCTTGTCACAAGGAATAACTCTTACCCAAAGTGTCTCATCCAAAGCATTGCTCTGGGAGCTGCTGCTCAGGACTGGGAACAAGGGAGGTGTTACCAGTCCCCTCGTTTGACCACTGAAAATGCCCTGGATGTTGTTTCTACCTCATCTATGCTTCTTTCCAGCCTCACTCTTATTCCTCTCTTGCCTTCATCCTTGTGACCAAAACCATTGCAGTTCTTGGAGGCCATTTCATGTGGGACACAATCTCTTGTGGGATGTGGAAACATCAGACAGCAAGAGTCAGGTAGAGATGGAATATAACCTCTAATCTGCTCTTGCTCCATGGTACCCCCCCTGCTCTTGTGTTTTTTCTTGTTCTCCACTTCATTTACCTGCATGAGAAAGGTTTGGTGCCTGTAGAACGTAGCCCCTGTTGGGTCTGACGAGGTTCAGCTTGACTTGCCATGCCCATGGGACCTCTTAGTCCCACGTTCCTCCTCATTTCACATTAATACCTCACTGGGGGAACCTCCTTTAGGAGCCCAGCCTCTGCTCTCCACTGGGCAGTGGAATGCTGTTCCAGTGGACTGTCCAGGTCACCTCAAGTCTGAGTCACCCCCTTGGAGATAATGTTGTCTCTCCATTGACTGCAGAGCACATGTTGGATGAAAAAGCTTTCTCATCTGGATGCCTTAGTGAGGGGCACAACCCTATGTAAGAGAAATCCAGGCCACCTGGCTGCTCATACCACCTCTACCTGGTGGAGTCACTTCAGGCTGGACCATGTCAGTAGTAGCCAAGCCTCAACCTCCCCAGCCCCAGCAGCTGGAGCCTTGCCTTGCCTTGGAAAGCTCAGGTCACCACACAATGGCGTTAGAGGGATTCTCACTCATCTTTGTCGTACGCTGGCAGCGAATCAACCAGCCTGCTCATGTCTCTCGCTCCTCTCCCCACCTCCCTTCTCTTTCCATTAATCTGGTCATCCATCTGCCTCCCTGCCTCTCACCACGCCTTGCCAAGTTCCCCATCCCCGGAGCAGGGAGGCACGTAGTTCAGTGGGCAAAGGAGGGGAGGGAGGGTTGCAAATCCTTCCAGGAGCCCGTCAGGAATACGAGTTAGAGCTGAGTGTGCTTTGCCTCTCGAGGGCCAGTGGAACATCTCATCCCCTGCCATCAGTAGAAAAACAGATGGCAG